TGTTCAATAACATCATCAACATATGGTAAATATATCAAAATTGAACCCATCTTTCATCAGGTATGTTCAAGTCAATTTATTTCAAATGAATGGCGAATAAATATTACAACTGGTCTTCTTTCCAATCTATCCAATTATGACCGAAAAGATTATCGTCGTTTTCTATCAGCTCATTTACAATATCTTGCCGGATTATGTGATCTTTCTAATCAATCAGTTAATGCTTTCATTCAACAATTTCTTTCTTCATTATTTGTTACTATTGAACTTCTACCGCAACCAGCTTTAAATACACAAATGGAAGCACTTATTGAAGAAAATAAATCAAATGCTCCTATGATGCTTCTTCGCCTTCTCTCTTTACATAGAGATATTAATCATGGTAATGCTATCATATCAGCTTATGGAACAAATTACGAATATCTCTTACCTGAAAGATCTGAAAATATAATTGCTGATTATGTAATGCGAACTCAAGGAATTGTTTATGATAATAATTGTTCATGTGCATTAAATGCAAGTTGTACTACATCAGCTAGTTTTATTCAAACAAATTCATCAGAAACTGTTCCAATCCAAGGATTAAGAATGGGTTGTACTCCAACTGAATCACTCTTTGCTTCAACACTTGAATGTTTTTATAATTTATCATGTATCAATCTCATTTATGAACATATTAATTACTCAAGTAATGTCAATAATACAAATGTTCTTGAACCTCCTTCAATAGATACACCTGTCATTGATCTAATTAATAAACTTTTTATTGACAATTGGTCTATAACAATTAATTATACGTTATATTTTAATCAATGTTTACCAACAGTATGTTCCTACACTTATATTCAAAAATTAAATTCACTTTATACAATAACTCGTCTACTTGGTCTCTGTGGTGGTCTTACTGTTGTTCTCACATGGATTTGTCCAACATTTATGTGTTTACTAGCAAAAATTTATGAACGTTGTAAGAAGAAGCGAATCAATCGTATTGAACCAGTTTATTTTATTCCTACTGAAAATAATGAAGTAACAAGAAATGCACATGACATTAACCAAGTCGATAATACTTATCCATCAATTAAAGCAATTGTAATCTTAAGGTATCGATTACAACGTCATACTGTTTTTTGTGGAATTAGTTTGTTCATACTACTGATAACAATCGTTACCATTCCATCTGTTTACTTTACTCAACGAGAAAAGAATACTTCTGTATCAACAGGTATAATTATATTTTTCTAAATAATTCTTACCATTATTCTTTTCGTTAATAGTTTCAATGATGAATACAACTATTCCGTCGGTGAATGAAAACGTATTGGAAACAACACCGTTTGTTCTAGAAAAAACCTGCCAGTTAACATTTGAATTAAGTGTTATTTCTTCATATGATTCTTCCTCTTGGCCGTATTTTATTAGTATCGGTGATTTTAATGAAGATACTTATTTAGATCTTGTTATTCTTGTTACCTTCGATAACAATATAGATGTACTATTAAATAGTGGTAATAAAACCTTTGAAGAATACTTAAATCTTTCGAATACAGTTGCAATTTATGGAAATTACATTATTGTAGCGGATGTTAATAATGATAGTCGATTAGATCTGATTAATGATAGTCATTTTACAAACGAGCTGCAAGTCCTATTTGGCATCGGTAATGGATCGTTTGAACAATCGTCAATAGTTTCACCTGGACCATCTAATAATTCGTGGTCAATGGCTATTGGTGATTTCAATGGTGATGATCGATTAGATGTTATCAGTTCTGATTATGCCGAATCATACGTAGGTATCGTGTTTGGTGTTAGTAATGGATCGTTTGAAAATCTAATGACATTGTCGACTGGAAATAACAGTATTCTGTCAACAGTAGTCGTCGGTGATTTTAATAATGATCAACGATTAGATTTTGTTGTTGTTGATGAAGCATCTCAGGATAATATTTATCTATTTCTTGGCCACGGTACTGGTAAATTTCAAAATCAAACAACTTTATCAATGCCATATCGAAGTGTTTTAGGATCACATCTTGCTGCTGATTTCAATAATGATGATTACTTAGATATTGCTATTTTTGATTTAACAAATCGTCAATTAGATGTCTTTCTTGGTAAGGGTGATGCGAGTTTCCGACCAATGTTAACATTTACGACAGGACATTATAATATTCCAGAATCAATGGTTGCTGCAGATTTTAATGGTGATCAATATTTAGATATAGCTTTTACCAATGATTATACAGCTGACGTAGGGATAATGATTAACAATGGTAACGGAACCTTTAGAGCACAAATACATTACTCAATTGGAACTGTTAGTACTCCACAAATGTTGACTGTTGGTGATTTTAACAATGACGGACGATCAGATTTGGTTGTAGCTACTTATCCACCAGGACAATTGATTATTCTTTGGAATACTTGTGAATGTTGTTCTTCAACTAATTCAGACTAATTTATTTTACTATTAATGAGCTTTCGTAAATGTCTTTGTAATGTTTGCAAATAAAGCTT